CCAGCAGTCCAGATACCCACAGATACTTCCCTGTTTGTGTTGACTCTCTGGAGTTTGTCTCCTCTTCTCTGCTTTGCCGTGCCGGGGGAGTTGGGGTTTTAATTTTGCTCTGTGTGTGTTTACCCCTCTTTGTGGATCGCTGATCTGTTAAGCACAGCGAGGAGGAGAGAGCGTCAGAGAGGAGGTGGTGGGCTGCTCACATCAGCCAAATTAAAAAAACTGGAGCAGTGCAGATTGTTTTAAGCTCTGGCAGCCCCCGTCAGGCCCAAAGGCCTCGCTCGCAGCCTGCACCTGCTTCGTCCCCCGGGAGCCTGGTTCCTGAACCGTGGCCTCCGTTTCTCCTCCTTGGGCCCCGAGCCCAGCCACCACATCCCCTCCACTTCTCCCCTTTTCCTCTCCACTGCAAATTCTTCTATTTTCCATTCTCTCCTTTCCTCTCGTCTTACAACCCTTTCATCTTTTCTCCCCTCCTCTCTGCCACCTGCTCCTCTCCTTATTCTCTCTTTGCTCCTGGTTCCCCTGCTGAACTTTATCTTCCCCCAAGTCCTCCACCTTCATCCTCTCCTCCAGCAGCTGGCAGACTTTTAATCTGCTCCTCTGCACCTGAGTGCAAACACAACCACACAGTACAGTCCAAGACGACAACACGGGACAGAAAAACACATCTGGTGCACGAACGCCTCATCGTGACACCAGTTCTTTTCTGATGCACACGCAGACTCAACGTGATAAAACTGCCACTGCTAGTTTTTATTGAAATCATCCAGTCGTCCATGAGTTTTACGACTGCACAGCCACGGATTGATCAGTCAGATTTACATACGCTATGATGCACACAGTATGATACACACAGTATGATACACACAGTATTTACATATCTCCAGCAATATTGGCCCCAAATAAGACTTCTAGTTTTAATATGGCTTGATTTGAATCAGTTTAATGGTTCGGTGTGTGGAGATCAGGTTGAAAAAGACTACGATGGAAAAACTTTCAAAGAATCTGGACCAAACTCTGCTCCTTCAGGTCCAAATCTCCTGCTCAGTCTTCAACCTTTTAATTGTTTATTGCACAAAGTTTAATCTGCTCTCACAGACACTTTAAAGACCATTTTGGTTTTCCTGCGTACTTTTAAAGATTGCCGCTTTTACTTGAGAAAAATGGAGATGAATGGAAATTTATTTAATATTCAAAGCTGCTAAACATAGAACGTTGCCATGCAGGGGCACCAGCAAGGGGGTGCTGGAGGAGGCGGTGGCCTCCCCGCTGGTCCCCTGGCTCGACAGGCTAATCTTCCTGTGACCTTCACTTTACTTGATGCGATATTTTTAAAGTTTAGTTAAGCTCGTAGGTGTTCTCCTTCAAAAAGCCACATTATAACAGAACTCCTAAAGTTTTGTATGTTTCTAGGTTTTGGCGTGCCACCCGAAGATTCACAGTGACCCCCATCTGGTCCCTCCTTTGGAAACTTTCTAGAGGTGCTCCAGTTTTACGAGTTTACTGATGAATGTTGAGCAGCACACAATAATCTGTGCAAATTATTAGTCAGTCTTTGTATTCTGTCAGTTTATTTTATTTATTTATTTAACCTTTATTTATCCAGGTAGTCTCATTGGGTCGTGAGGACTCATTTTCAAGAGAGACCCGTTTGGGAGCAGATAGTGGGGGTTAAGGGCCTTGCTCAAGGAGCCAGAATGGGGCAAATGAGGGTGGAGGCAGGTGTGGGTGCTTCATCTTTTTCACCCACATTTTGAGGTTGCTGGTCCGGGGAGTCGAACCGGCGATCTTCCGATCACAGGCCCATCTTCTCTAACCTCTGCGCCACCACTCCCCAAAAATGAAAGATCGGTCTGCTGTTTGAGAACGATGAGATCAGAGACAAAACTCAAGGATGAACGTCTCAGCAGAGGCTGCTACATCCCACAGCTGCTGTTCAGAGACACTCTGTCCGTTCTGAAGGGAGGTTCTGTGTAAAAGTTATGAACAGCTGTAGAAACTCAGTTTACGAGACTGACGAGCTCGTGGCTAGTCTGACCGCAGCTGGAACCAAGCTGGATTTCTGCCATCTTAAAAACAGCTCCCATCTCTAAACACGGTGCCGTTCACGCAAACGTTAGTTCATCAAACTTCACTTCAGTTATTTGGGCAGGACTCTTTGGTTATTTGCAGGTGCAGACAGCAGCAGCTAGCTGTAGCACCTTGATGCCTCCTGGAGTTAACTGTGATTTGAATTTCATATTTTCTCCGTAATTGCCACGTAATGTACAATTTACAGTGATGTGAAGGTTTACGTGGTAGTTTTTACACAAACTGCTTTGAAACCTTTAAGGCAGCGTTGTTCCATCGCTTCTGCAGACGGAGGCTGTTCACAGAGCTACAACCCTTACAACTGGAAAATTAAGTTCTCATAAAGTTTACAAAGAACTCCACTTCAAAGCTGCCTAAATATACTTTAATAAAAGCATTAAGAAGAAAATGGTCGTAGATCAGCCTATAGGACTCAACCCAGAAATAAATGTCCTTTTTGTTGTTTTCTATACGTTCTATGGGTCTCGATCCAAGTCCTAAAGTATTTTTGCATTGTTGACATCTGATATTGAAACTCACAGCTACAGAAGTTCATGGAAATGTTGCTGTGTAACATTTAAGCAGCACTAATAAAATTCCATTCATCTCTACTGAGGAACTCAACGAGCTGTAAGAAATGTGTCATCAGCATAACCCACCACTTCAAATGTATAATATCCACTTTGTGAATATTTCTACAGCCACCTCGTTGTCATTTCATTACAGTGACAGCTCTCGACAGCTTTGGTTCCAGTTTCCACCCAGGACCTGTTTTGTTGTTGTAATTAACAATCAGCTACTCATTTATTCTGACCACAAAGATGTTTGTGCACACACAGGAACATTCACATACACACTGTCCAGGTAAGCAGCAGAGTGTCCTCGCAGCATCACGTCAGGAGTCCTGCTTCATGTCTGTGCTTCCACCTCATTTTGTCATCGTGCATTTATTGCAGACCTCTGCTTTTCACAGGTGAACATAAATCCACACTAGTGCAAAGTAACTCCTCTCTTTGAGAGCAATAAGAAAATAAAGATTAACGAAAATATACATTTAATGCATAAACTCATAATAGAAAAAATAATCATATGGCACTGATCATAAGTTACATCAGAACAAAAAAAGCGAGTATTTTTGAATATTCTGAGCACCAAGGCTGATTTGTTGCAGTATGCACTTATTTACGTACTTATATTTATGTACTTATGCACTGTATGACAGGCCACCCCTGGTTGGTTATTATTATGGAGGAATGAAGTACTGTAAATAAAAAGACTTTTTTGTTACAAAATCAGGACATCGTGCTGATGTCTCCATCTAGTGGTGGAATGTAAGAACTGCATCTCTTAAACAGCACCACAGGGATGCTGAAATTACTAGAACTTCAAGTCTTGAGAAAAGCGGAGATAATTAACCAGTAAAAAGAAAGATAACTGATAAATAAAACAGGCACAAGTCTTTCCATCTGTTTCCTATCCTTCATTCACAAACCAACAGGTGAAGTGGACTTGTGGAACTGTAAATGATAACGTTTCTTCCATCAGCAGCGTGCAGCAAACAACACGAGGATGGATGCAGGAGATGAAGTGGCACTCCGCGTCATCTGTGTTTACTATTCAGCATCATGAATGATAAACAGCAGCTGTTCCTTTGGAACCACGTGGTCTGTTGGAATGGATTTATGAGTTATGACATACGGCAGAGTGGTGATTAGTTGCATCATTTCATAGCAAGTGAAGTGCCACCTGTCCCATCTGCAACGCTGTTTCTTCTTTGCTGTGTGTTTTTTTTTTTTTTTTTACCAGACCAGACGATCAGCTTGGGCGACTTAATAACAACTTCTGTATCTGAGACAAATAAGGCAAGGAGGAACTGCCAGGTGGACACTTCCGATGGTACAGGAGGGGACGAACTGTACAGTTGGTTTAAAATTAGGAACTCCAGTTTGTATCCTCTGCATATAAACACCCAGTCTGGATGTTGGGAAGCTGCAACATGCTGGGTTTGGAAACAGGAGGAGTGGGAATAGTTTCTCCAGATGTGCCAGTTGCTGTCGTCAAACCTCTAAGTCTGGCACCAGCTCCTCTTTAAGGTGACTGTCATTTTCAGAGCCCGTGTCCACGTCTGAGTCAAAGAGCGACTGGTCGGAGTTCAGAGTGGGAGAGTGTGTGTGTCTGGCTGAGTGGGTGCTGCTGTCACTCTCGTCCAGAGTGTCAGTCCTGGAGAACAGGTCAAAGTCCAGCAGCCCTGCTGGGGTCCCACGGCTGCTGTTGCTCTCACTGTCTCCATCATAGTAAAGATCCTCCACCTCCACAAACCACTCGGGCCAGAACCTCCTCCGCATCCGCTCACAGAACATGGCCAGATTGATCAGCTCTCCTGTGGAGACATCAGCCACAGCAAGTTAATACATGCAGGAAGCTGAGGTAACTAAACATTCAGATGTAAGTTCAGCTCCGTTTAAGAGTCTTGTCTCTTTAATAAGAGCACTTTGATTTAAAATGTTGTTTTAAATCACAGACTGTGAACTGGAAAAGGCCAGAAAAGATCAGAGACTCTTCTAATGACACCCTGCAAGCCACTACAATATTAATCAATAGTTTGCTGTAGAACATTACTGCCATCTAGTGGCATAAAATAAAACTCATATCAATCATAATACAATTGAACACATTTAGATGATCATGATATGATAACCTAGAGCAAAAATACTCTGTATTACAAGATTCATTAAACACAGAAATGTCAGTACTGCTGGTGCTTAAATAATGACATTGTGAACGTCATCATATAATTTCATACATTGCAGCTATTACTAGATTTGATTTTGATGCACAGGTACCATATTGCGTGTGATCACAAGTGAATGTGTTGACAGTCACCATTTAAATGTGCATCAGATGTTGATCAAGACTGAAACCAAATTAAATTCCAAATATTACGGTTAAATTAATAATCAGTGTCAGACAAAATACCAGAGAGCCAGCAGGCGGTGTAAAAAACTATTTGGCACAAAACTACACCATAAACAGCAGCTATGTTCAGTTACAGTTCTGGTGTAAACGTGCTCATTGTGCAGAAAATGACTTCTCTGTCAGACAAAGACACTGGGGGTCCAGATGTTACAGCCCAGTTTTTTCTCCTAACACAAAGGGGCACATTGCAGAGTGGGACCAGGACCCCCGGACATGTCTGGCACATACTTGCACCTGGCAGGTCAAACGTTGTTCACTGGCTTCCTGCTGACAAACATTATTAGTTATAGCTGGTGACAACTAAAGTTGCCACATGAATAATGTGTTTGCTGCGTTCTGGAAGAAATAAATGTTTCCTGAATGTTGCATTAGTATCCTTTTTGCACCTTTCCAACTGCACTTGATCTGAATAAGAAGTTAGTTAAATAAGAGTTAAAAACACATCCAAACAACTCTACAGTAGCAAGAGAGCCCAGTCCCAAGTTTATTCTAGCAGGTTGACGTTCGCTTGTTAATTAGCCGAGTTATAATGAACCTGCAGCTTAGTTGTTCTTTACCTACTAACATACATGCACACCTTTAAATAAAAAGGGCTGTTGCTCATTTTCAAGCTTTAACCATCTGGTTTTGCTGCTGAAAACAACAAACTCTTTGTTTTTAATGAGAGAAGTCTGAGGGGTGACAACAACTCAACAGGTGGAGGAGGAGCGTGCAGCTCTGTGCTTAAAAAAAATAAATAAACCCTGCACTGCTTCTGGCACCTCAACTAAAAGCTTTTAAACTGCAGCAAAGAAATGATGGAGAATTGTAGTTCTGACTCTGTGACTTCTTAAATCATGACATGACTGATGGATTGATTTGTGTCAGAGGAGCATGTTGCTAAAAATGAGCTAAAAACAAAGTTGCAGTTAAAATTTTTGAAACCTATTTGTACAGTATGTTAGCCAAGTACTGTGAGTACAAGGTCAAAGTTCACACCACAAACAACAGTAAACGCATGCAAGGTTCAGTGTTAAAGTGAAAAATGTTTCTGAATTAGCTGCTTGTGTTGAGAGCTGAACAGACGCTAACCTTTGATGAGCTGCTCTGGTCGGGTCCCAGGTAGAGTCCACATAGCCTGAGCTAGATGCCCGAACACGGTGGCGTCTAACGATGACACCTTGGAGCCCATGAAGTATTTCTTATCACCTGCAGTGCAGCAAAACAAAGAAAACATTTAATAACTCTCCAATATGGCAATGTGTTAGTTACATTAAGTTAAATATTTGAACGTTTCACATTCTTACTAGCTAGCTTACTAAACTACAGCACAGTCCTTTATGTACAGGACTGATAGAACTAATTTAATTGTAAAGTAATTTCATGTTCAGGCTGGAGGAGCAACAACAGATTTCAGATGAAAACCTCTCTCTCTCTTACAGCAGACAATAAACAGGTGAGCCATGTGGTCGTTGGGTGCTGTGATGCCTTCACTCTTTCCGTTTCACGGCTACAAGTTGGTCGTTAAAATGGCACAAACGGATCAATACACGGCTCGAGCAGTTCTACACCTGAGCCTCACGTCTCAGCACTTTTATACTGTATTCATGTTGATGGTTTCTATGACTTCACGTAATATGATTGGTCTGTTTCTGTAAGTGAGCAGAGCTTAAAGACAAACAGCAGAACAGTTGTGTTTGTACTGGCGTGTAAGAAAGCAGCGCATTACATCTTTGGTTTGCTTTCAGTGAGGAGCATAAACGTGCTGTACGAAACATCTAGACAGTGCATTAGTCATGATGCTAGGCCTCATTAGCCTAGCATCATGTTTCAGCATGATCCTGAAAGATGGATAATAATACAGACAAAGAAGTGGCCTAATGCAGACATCCTGCAGCGGATAATAAGGGTGTAAACGTACACCTAAGTCCCATTGTGCTGCATGTTGCAGACAATGACTCTCCCAGATGCAGAAACAGACAAACACGTCACTCTTGCAAGAAGAAAGAATCAAAGGGTCAAGCACAGCAGGCAAAGATTTGACAACTGACAACTTCACATAAAAAATAAATAAATAATTAAAAACATTAAGTGATAATTCAATGTTTATCCAGTCTGAAGTCTGAATTGTAAAAGTGTCCTACAAGTCGTTTGTTAACAAAAGTTGGTCAAACTCCAAAAAGACATCTCTTTTTTGGGGGGGTAAAAACACAATAACACAAAGGAAGAAGTCAAAATGTTATGTTAAACAGAATGTTGAATAAGCTTGAAGTCTGATTTATTTTTCTATTAAACTATTAAAAAACAGGTGATCTTTTTTATATACTGTATATAGAAAAAGTATTCAGTTCAGTTTATTTATACAGCACCAAATCACAGCAGAAGTCTTCTCAGGGCACTGAACAGAAACATTCACGTACATTATAAATGCCTATTAGTAAAGTTCTCTATGTCTGGAAGGAAGTGTTCTGTGGTCTCTGCCATTAATAATAACGAGGAACCTCCAACAATTGTTAGATAGTATACCTGGATTATTGAGCAGGGACTTTGTTGGTTTTGAACCAGTTTGACATGACTGTTGACGGATGAGGAACCTCCTTTAAACACTGATCTGTCGTCGTCCTGCTGATGCTGATGTCTGGATCTGTTCTTGTACACTGAAGGTCTGCTGCTCTAGAATACATTGTGACATCTGAATATAAATACTGTGTTTTAAGTCCTGTGATCTGGTGAACTATATATAATTTACACTAATCTATATCTATAGTATAGAGCAGGGGTGTCAAACCCACCTACAAAAAGGAGGTCAAAATTAAAAGCTTTATCAAACTAAAGGCCAGTTTCAGAATCCACAACAACTCAGTACCAATAATTAAATACCCAACTTCTTTCATGGTCACAGGTTCCTCAACAACTGTTTGATTGGTCTCATTTGATGTTCTCTGTTGTGCTTTTGACATCATTATCAAAGATTACTGAAAAAACAAATTAAAGCGATTAAAGTATTTTACGTTTCACATATCATCTTGGGGGGCCAGATAAGATGTCAACGAGGGCCACATTTGGCCTCCGGGGCTTGAGTTTGACATATGGCATAAATGGAAGACAATACCTCAAAACAAGGAAAACAGTGGAATAATTTGAAGAGCTAGAAGCTCAGTGGATGGTAATGTCTTCATGTGAAGCAACATTTGAACTTGGAGAGTAAATGAGCACACAGACTCATTCCTACCCAGCAGAGTGGCCAGTGTCCTCATGTCCTTCTCCATCAGCCTGTACACGTCCTCCTTGGAGAAGCGTCCGATGCCGTGGCCGTACATCTCCCTGCGCACCATGCTACCAGTTAGGTGGCTCAGCACCCACTTTAGTGTGTCGCTCAAAGGCCCGTCCATCGCCAGCAGCTTCTGGGTTTCCTCAACGTTATCCACCCACTGGCAGTAGGCGAGCGTCCTGAGTAGGCAACAACACGGTAATATGACACTGGTGGGGCCAAAGAACAAGTGTAACACAGCTCTGTTGTCTGCGTCCATGAAAAGTGGGCAACATGTACCGGTAATCATCTGTGTCTGTTTGCACATGTGTGTGTGTGTCTGTTAGCAAAATATCTCATGAACCAGTGAATTATAATGAAACTCTCTAAAAGTAATCCCTGGGTATTCAAAAAACAAAACAAAGCAAAAAAAAAACATTTAGAAGCGTTTCGTCTCTCATCCGAGAGACTTCCTCAGTCTGAGGTGCTGTATTCAGCTCAGTCTCTTAAATAGCACCTTCTCAGAGTGGATCAACCAGTTTTGCTGCTGACAACCAAAACCAGCTGATCACATGCTCAAGAAGGACCATCAGCATAACAATGGATCATTAGCACACTGATGGCTGTTTACTGTTCACAGAGGGCTGAGTGATACTAGCAATCACAGCATTGTAAGAGGGGGACAATTGAACCCGGAGGCCTCCACCCCTGTTTAATGATGGACGATTTCTTTTCACAAAGATGGCCTCCTTTACTCTTCTCTCAAACCATCGTTCCTCTCTATCCAGGATGTGAACATCCTCATCCCTGAAAGAGTGACCGCTGGCCTGGAGATGAGTGTAGACCGCAGAGTCCTGGCCTGATGATGTTGATCTTCTGTGCTGGTCCATCCTTTTGGCCAGTGGCTGTTTAGTTTCCCCGATGTAAGACTGATCACAGCCCTCCTGACACTGAACAACATACACAACATTACTCTGTTTGTGCCGGGGGACTGGATCTTTGGGATGAACCAGTCTTTGCCGTAATGTATTTTGGGGTTTAAAAGCCACTGGGACGTTATGTTTAGAAAATAAACGTCTCAGTTTCTCTGATACTCCCTCAACATATGGAATGACCACTGGTCTGGGTTCCTCCTTTTCACCTGTTGGCTGACTGGAGTCCTGTTTGGGTTTCTTCTCTGCTTTCAGGAAGGCCCAGTTAGGATATCCACATTGATCTAGAGCCTGTCTTGTGTGGGATTTCTCCTTCTGCCTGGCTCCTGAGTTAGTGGGGACGCTGTCTGCTCTGTGGTACAGAGTCCTGATGACTCCTAACTTGTGCTCTAAAGGGTGATGGAAGTCAAACTGTAAATACTGGTCTTTACACATCAGTTTGCAAATGTCCTCCATCAGAAACTGAGACCTCACAGTCCAAGAAAGCCAGCCTGCCATTTTTACATTTTCTCATGTGAACTTTATATACAGTGCCTTGTGAAAGTATTCGGCCCCCTTGAACTTTTCAACCTTTTGCCACATTTCAGGCTTCAAACATAAAAATATACGATTTTAATTTTTTGTGAAGAATCAACAACAAGTGGGACACAATTGTGAAGTGGAATGAAATTTATTGGATGTGTCAAACTTTTTGAACAAATAAAAAAACTGAAAAGTGGGACGTGCAATATTATTCAGCTCCCTTGCGTTAATACTTTGTAGCGCCGCCTTTTACTGCAGTTCCAGCTGCAAGTCTCTTGGGGTTTGTCTCTATCAGTTTTGAACATGGAGACACTGAAATTCTTGCCCATTCTTCTTTGCAAAACAGCTCGAGCTCAGTGAGGTTGGATGGAGAGCGTTTGTGAACAGCAGTCTTCAGCTCTTTCCACAGATTCTCGATTGGATTCAGGTCTGGACTTTGACTTGGCCATTCCAACACCTGGATACGTTTATTTGTGAACCATTCCTTTGTAGATTTGGCTTTATGTTTTGGATCATTGTCTTGTTGGAAGATAAATCTCCGTCCCAGTCTCAGGTCTCTTGCAGACTCAAACAGGTTTTCTTCCAGAATGGTCCTGTATTTGGCCCCATCCATCTTCCCATCAATTCTGACCATCTTCCCTGTCCCTGCTGATGAAAAGCAGGCCCAAACCATGATGCTGCCACCACCATGTTTGACAGTGGGGATGGTGTGTTCAGGGTGATGAGCTGTGTTGCTTTTACGCCAAACATATCATTTTGCATTGCGGCCAAACAGTTGGATTTTGGTTTCATGTGACCAGAGCACCTTCTTCCACATGTTTGGTGTGTCTCCCAGGTGCTTGTGACAAACTTTAAACAACACTTTTTATGGATATCTTTGAGAAATGGCTTTCTTCTTGCCACTCTTCCAAAAGGCCAGATTTGTGCAGTGTATGACTGATTGTTGTCCTATGGACAGACTCTCCCACCTCAGCTGTAGATCTCTGCAGTTCATCCAGAGTGATCATGGGCCTCTTGGCAGCATCTCTGATCAGTCTTCTCCTTGTTCCAGATGAAAGTTTAGAGGGACGGCCGGGTCTTGGTAGATTTGCAGTGGTCTGATACTCCTTCCATTTCAATATGATTGCTTGCACAGTGCTCCTTGGGATGCTTAAAGCTTGGGAAATCTTTTTGTATCCAAATCTGGCTTTAAGCTTCTCCACAACAGTATCTCGGACCTGCCTGGTGTGTTCCTTGGTCTTCATGATGCTCTCTGCGCTTTGAACAGAACCCTGAGACTATCACAGAGCAGGTGCATTTATACGGAGACTTGATTACACACAGGTGGATTCTATTTATCATCATCAGTCATTTGGGACAACATTGGATCATTCATAGATCCTCACTGAACTTCTGGAGTGAGTTTGCTGCTCTGAAAGTAAAGGGGCCCAATAATATTGCACGCCCCACTTTTCAGTTTTTCATTTGTTCAAAAAGTTTGACACATCCAATAAATTTCATTCCACTTCACGACTGTGTCCCACTTGTTGTTGATTCTTCACAAAAAATTAAATTTTATATCTTTATGTTTGAAGCCTGAAATGTGGCAAAAGGTTGAAAAGTTCAAGGGGGCCAAATACTTTTGCAAGGCACTGTATGTATCCTCCGTGTTGATGTGATCAGTGAAATGTTGGACTTCCAGAGATTTAATTTTAACCCAGATCTCAGTTTAAAAAAAATGTTTACTTCAACAGAAATAGATAAGCATTTCTGAAAACTGTATGCCCATAAAACAGTATAAAATCCCAAATACAGTATTTATGAATTACAACATAACATCTACTTGTTATAATCTAAATAACAAAGAAATCCTACAATCAGAACTCAAATGTACAAGCAGAAAATAAACATGTTTAATAGTCACTTTGCTTCCAATCACAGCACATAAATAAAGCCCTAACCTGACTTTAAAATACAAATGAACTGCGTACTGTACCAACAACAGCTCAAATCAAGTGGCTGCACGCCACTTACTTCTGAGTAAAGTACAGCTTTAAATAATAACTGTACACTACAGAGTGCTAATGCTTTATGAGTACATTAAGTGCCTCAGCCTTTATAAAACCCAACTGAAACATGAGATGCACGATCATCAGCCGGATGGAGACAGAGGACTGAAAAACAAAGGATAGGTTCTGGTCTGACAGGAAAACATCTATAACCTAAGAGGTTAAGAGGGTGTGCGGTTTAAAATTGTGTGGAAAGCACAACATAAATGCAGTAACTTACACTCTATAATATATTTAAGTATAATTTCTAAACAAAATGTTTCATTAGAAAATACAGAAATGACTGTAAAAAAAAATAGTTATGTTGTTGCCAAACAGTGCACTGAACTGGACGATACAAAATATGTGACTCTTGTCAGAAACGTCAGACAACCTAGCTAAGAGCAAAAGCTGCTCTTCCTCAGTCTAAGATGTAACGGTTGATTCATAGACATTTCAGTAATGCAGGGCCTTTAATAAGAAGCTTCAACCCTCATCATATTACAAGCAAAGTTTTATGTCTTAAATTACTTTCATCAATAAAAAGACACCGATTCTGTTCCAGTTCTTGTCAATCAGTTACACTACTCTCAGCTCACTGCTCATATCTTATAATCAGCTTTTTTAAACACAACAATGGTTCATACAGTATTAGTCCCCGACGCTCATGAAGAAACAGGTTTTAAAGAAAAGAAGAAAAGACATGTCTGTAACTACATGTAAGAGTAGTTAAGGCAGCACTGTAAGAGTCATGTTCTTTGACTTTTCCAGTGCTTTAACACCATCAGACCTGCTCTACTCTGCAGTAGCTCCTGGACATGCAGGTGAATGACTCGCTGGTCACCTGGATCAGAGACTACCTCACAGGTCGACCACAGAGTGTGAGGCTGCAGAACACCACCTCGGACACCATACACAGGTGTCCTCAGGGGACGGTCCTCTCTCTGTTTCTGTTCAACCTCTACAATCCTGCATCTGCAGAAGTTCTTGATGACTCTGCCATTGTGGGCTGCATCACTGGTGACCAGGAAGCTGAATGCAGAGGTGTGGTGGACAGAACCACCTGCAACTCAACAATGGAAAAACTAAAGAGCTGCAGGTGGACTACAGGAAGAACAGCCCCCCCAACCCTATCAACATCAAGGACACTGTGGACTGCTGCACCTAGGCAATAAACTGGACTGGACAGCTAACACCAACACCCTCTACAAGAAAGGGCAGAGTTGCCTTTTTTTTCTCTGAGACTCAGGTCCTTTAACATCTGCAGGACCGTACTGCAGATGTTTTACCACTCTGTGGTCTCCAGCATCTTCTACGCTGTGGTGTTCTGGGGCAGCAGGGTGAAGAATGGTGATACCAACAGACTCAATAAGCTCATCAAGAGAGCTGGTTCAGTTCTGGGAGTGGACCTGCAGTCTCTGACAGGTGTCTGAGCAGAAGATGCTGAGGAAACTGCTCCAGATCCTGAACAACACGTCACACCCCCTGCATGACACCCTGGACTCTTACCGCAGCTCCTTCAGTTGTAGACTGAGACCACCGAGGTGCTCCACAGAACAACACAGGAAGTCCTTCCTCCCTGTGGATATCAAACTTTTCAACTCCTCTTTTCTACACAAAGAACAATAAAATTAATCCTGCACCACAATATATTCTTTAATGTTTCTGTCTGCTCCTGTTTAGAGCATAATGGTTGGCATTTTTATATTCTTTGTTATTTTTTTATATTGTGTGATTCCTTGTGTGTGTTCCTTTGTATTGAAACTCTGGTACAACAATTTCCTGCAGGATCAATAAGGTTCTAACTTATCTTATCTTATTTTGTGTAATGGTAAAAAACTTTACTTTGATTCTTGCTGCTCTCACCTTCCTCTTATTTACATAATTCCTTACAAAAAAATAAAACTTCAGGGAGAAACACCTCACGTACTCCTCTTCAGTCGAGTCAGTAAACAAATAAAAACACATTGGCTGATTTCTTAACCAAATTATACCTAATTATTTGTCCTGAAGCAGTATTCAGCTTGTGTAGACAGGCCCTGCTTCAGTCTAATGATCCCCATTTAAACTGCTCCATTTTAGCATCAACATGTTTGTGACTATTACAGATTTAAACTAATGAAACCTGTGAAGGATGACTGCTTGCCATTACTTTCTTTCATAAATGAAATACATGATATATTTGAAGCTGACTGTCATGTGATGTTTTGGACCCAGCTTCCTGTGTGTAATGAATGCGGTGTACACTTTTTAACACGGGCGCTCTCTGAAACCAACTCATGCTGTTCCACTCAGTTCATCTAAAAAACTGTGAAGCACTGACTCATACTTTTCCTGGCAGCCCATAACTTATGTACAATATATAATTTGCCACTTGATAGAATTCTGATTTTTTTTTTTTTTTAAATCCTGTACATCTAAACGCACCAGCTGTCTGGTTACATTCTGATATCCATACAGACAGAATCATAAAGCATGTAGCACCTATCCTACTGAGACTTTGTGCATTTTTCAGTGTGAGGACGCTCTGATGGGTTGGTACCTTCAGCACAATGGAAATCAAAAGACAAGTTTGAAACTTCAAAGCAGGAGTCCACAAACCGATGGGTCAAAACACTCTTACACCATCAGTAATGGCAGCTGGCAGATCATTTCCTCAAAGTGCTTCTTTAAAGCAGTAGAGCAGCTCAGTGTGTGTAAGATATAACTCTAGTAAGGCACTGATGCCATTTAAGGAGCAAACAGCTGCCAGAGCGCCCTTCATAAATAATTCAGTCAGCAGAGCTAAACGTGGGTCTAAATATGACTGGATGGGTGGTGCAGCAGAGCAAGGAGAGAAGGAGGAGCGGAGTAAAGGAGAATGTGGGCTACAAGAATGACCTCTGCTGCTTTACACACATTTGATGGTTTATGCTTTTCATTTTATAAATACACATTAAAAGATGTAACCTCTGGTTTGTCTTTTGTTTGATTAATTCTAGTAGTCCGGTTTAACCTCGTCCTGGGGTTATTAAATCCAGGACAATAAGCCACGTGGCTTTGGATCAGCTGGGGTTAGATCACCGTCTGACGTGCTGGTGGAAGATGGAGAGCTTTTAAGTGATGGAAACCACTCTGAGCCTCTCTGGGAGGAGGAGGTGAAAACATTTTCCTCGCAGCAGAAGCAGCAGCACTGTGGTACCCGAGTGACTCGCCACGTTGGCAAAGCAGGGATGGAGAGGACGGAGTCACCTCAGGACACCGACTGAAACAAACCTCCAAGGTCACACTGACAATTATCTACCACCAGGTTTAATGCCAGTAGAGCCCATTACGCAGCCTCAACTGAAGCCTCGTGGGTCATTTTGACCCAAGGGCAGCAGGAGGGCTAAAGAAAAGGATTCACATTTTCTCCCTATGTGTCACTATTTTTCAATTTCTTTACCATTTTCTTTGCATAATCTCACAAAAAAAGCAGTTTATTTGTTCCTGTCACACCAGTATGAGTGGCTCCACGTGTTTATAATGAACATTTATATTGGATTTTTATTATTTTTTCTCTTTTAAACATAAATGTGTACACGCTTGAATAACTGTCAGCAAATAAATAAAAAATCTAATTATGGTATATGTAAAAAAAAAGTTTCTTTGACTTTGAAAAAAAACCTCATGGTGGTTTAATTTAACTGATTAAAGTTCCAGTAATGATTCAGATTAAAATGTTTCTGATGACACAACTTGAGGTTGTATAAAAGTTAAGAGTTTACTTTTAAGCCTCTTACCAGTATAGATGTTCTTCCACCATTTTGGTGACTGCTCGGGACACGGCTCTTTCGTGTGGGGTGAGGTTCTTGTTTAAGTTCACCCCCAGCTTCTCCTCCAGAAAATCGACGATGAACTCCGACCCTGACACCTGCTCATGATTGTACTCGATCCACGGCATCTTCCCCTGCGGTGACAGCCTCCCATCAAAGTAGTTCTGCAGAGGGAAACAATGTCCTGTGAGATCCTGTGACCTTATGGTCCACTCATCCATTTTCTTTACCCGCTTCTTCCTTTCCAAGTCAAGAGGAGCTGACAACTACCTCCAGCAGTCCCTGTGTGAGAGGCAGGGACACCCTGGACAGGTCACGAGCCTGAACTTAATATGCATTTTCAAAACAAATCAACTACCGTACACTGATTCGCTAAAAAGAAATAAAAAAAAAAAAAAGATTTCACCTTTTGCTGTTTACTGTGGTTGTTCTTGGTCTTAAACCGTACCTTAAACAACAAAATGTGAACAAATAAAAACAACCGTGGAGTTTTTCTGCCAACAGTCAGAGCTTTAGACGTCCCCTCAGGAGTTGCATGAAGATTTCTGATTGACTCCGTCTGTTCTTTCCCAGAGGGGAGGATTATTCACCCAAAGCAGATGGACCTCAGTTCAGCACCCCTAAACTCTGACAGTGAATAGATTTTAGACGTGACACTAAAAGCTGCAACCACAGAATAAAGTTTGTGTGAGAGGCCTAACAGCAACTGAAATCAGAAAACAAACAGCAGAAAATGGCTAAACGAATAACGTGTGTGCATTTTGATTTCTATTCACCCTCTTTTAAAGCCTTAAGATTTGCTTCAGCCACATACTTTCACAGGTCAGATACTTAGCTTACTTCAGTCCACCTTAGCTCAGGTGGAGTATCGTTAAAAACAGTATGATGATTTTTTTTAAGGCTCCACTCTGCACAGAGCACAACAAAAGACCCAGCAAACATCCAAACATGCCAGAAAACTTTTGGTAAAATGCTGATTGTGATTCTATAGAAAAGCATCAATAGCTCTACATATTTGTCAAAGAAATGTTAACTCCGACCCAAAAAGAAAATAGACAACCACAGAAAACTACTAAGAACTATATCACATATCAGACAAGGAGGGCACTGAAGCAAAGAATCAGCAAGGAGCTGGACAGACCCAAATCAGAGACTTGAATGTCTATTGACAGGACAACTTTCAGTCAAAATACAAACAGCAAAGCCTGACAAAAAACTAAAGGAAGCTAAAACAAATGAAGCCCAATATTTAGAAGAAAAAAAACTTAAGGACATCCAAATATATGGAAGGAGAATGTTTTTTGACACTAGACTGAATAAGTGTCTGTGTAAACAAAGCTGCATGTAGCACAGTCCCATTACTGAAGAACAGACCACCACAGTAAAGCACAGTGGTGGCAGCATCATGCTGTGACTATGTTTGCTCTCTGAAAGACCTGGGGCATTGGTCACAATGAACAGCATGATTCTGCTAAATACAGACAAACTTACAGGGAAAAACTCTCAAATCTTCCACTGAAGGGAAACTGGAACAGAGGCTGACATTTTACAAATACAAAGTACAACCCCACTGTAAATAAAGCAAAAATAACAGTTAGGTGGCTTAAATCCTTAATTTCTTCATAGTTTTTGTAGCCTGTGGATAGGATCTAACTATATTTTGACATTATTGTTCACCAAATTCATGAGTATTTTCAAGCTAAATTAGACCTTTAAGTAATATTAAATAAAAAATAAATTAATAAGCACAATAAATGCTGCACCAATCTGTGGGAACAAGCCACGGTAAAAGATTTGTCTTAGTCCAATGGTCTTATTAAAATGGATTATTGGGATTTTTTTTTAAATTCTCACGATGAATTAAAAAAAAAAAGTATGATGGAGTGACGTGGAGGCTGCAAGGGAGTTGCCTCCATTTTATTTTCTTGTTCAGATTATTTGTTTTTGTCCCTGAATGATTTACTTTAAACTGCCTTCAGGTGCAGGCCTCAGTTGAAAAGAGACCAGTGATCTCAACGAGATAAATAAAGCTTAGTAACGTGAAAGCTTTGAATTAGCTGGTTTACAAGAACCTTAGCTTTCTAATTGTGCATCATACTGTATGTGCTACCCACTTGTATAATAATAAAGTAATAAAGTGCTGTGTTGTCATCATTGTATGTTCCCATACAATGGCGACATCAGTTCTCTGCAGTTAACCCATCACACCTGGGATACACCCAGGTGGAGCAGTGGGCAGCTATGTGCCCAGGGAGCAATTGGGATTAGATGTCTTGCTCAGAGACACCATGACATGTGGGAATGGCTGGGGATCGAACCTGGGACTTTCGGGTCTCGAGTCAGCTGCCCTAACTCTACCCCATCTCTACCTATGCAGTAGTCAACAGAAATTAACAACAGAATTTAATTTATAACTCACAAACAACCGTTTGACAAATGAAAAATAACTACTTCTGACTAATAAAAAGGGGCGGCACGGTGGCGCAACTGGTAGAGCTGCTGCCTCTCAGTGAGCAGGTCCCTGGTTCAAACCCCGGTCCAGGGGCCTTTCTGGGTGGAGTTTGCATGTTCTCTCCGTGCATGAGTGGGTTTTCTCCGGGTACTCCAGTTTCCTCCCACAGACCAAAAACATGCATGTTAGACTGATTGGTAACTCTAAATTGTCCTTAGGTGTGAGTGAGAGAGTGAATGGTTGTTTGTCTCTATGTGGCCCTGTGATGGACTTGCGACCCATCCAGGGTGTACCCCGCCCCTCGCACAGTGATTGCTGGACATGGGCACCAGCGACCCCCGTGACCCAAAATGGAATAAACGGGTAAAGAAAATGGATGGATGGATGGATGGATGGACTAATAAAAAGAACACTGCCCTGTGAAAAATGATATAACACAGAAACAGAGTCTTTATCAGAAGACATGCAGCCAGTCGTGAGTTTGAGCTTCCCTGCGTCACCTGATAAGGCAGATCCACCATGCGCAGGTACGTCTCTATTTTGAGGCAGAAGGGCGAGAGGCTCGGGATGCCATTCTTTGGTCTGGAGAACTGATGGAGGATGATGGCATCCTGAGAGTCCAGCTCCTGTTCCTTCCTACACAGAGGGCACAAACGGAACAAAGCAAACCTTTAATAAATGTGTGCGTCCGTTTAGTCTTTACAATTAATCCAACTTCAATAGAAATGGCACTTGGACTGAAAGATTTACCTGAGAAAGACTATTGAGATAACATGAAGTTAGAAAAGACCAAACCTCAAGATCAGATAAACCAGATCAGAGGTCAACAACAATTAATCTAATTTAGTTTTAGGAGTTCATACACAGCATTCCTCATTAATATTGTTATTTAAAAACTAATGTGGGAGGCAGGGGCACTTAAAGGGGGACAGTCAGTGTTGGACAGTCAGTGTTGGACAGTCAGTGTTGGACAGTCAGTGTCAGCTACATAAGGCGAGCTATAAAAACAAGACAAAAGGCTTGTTGTTGTTCCTAACGATGCGTTAGGTACCTCTGAGAACAAAGCCGGTGACTTTAAGAGAAATTTAACTGTTCAAGACAACAAAGTCCATGCTCAATAATCCAGGTATACAATCCAACATTTTTCAGTAAGGTCATCTGGACAGTTTGTTTTTTTGTGCTGAAACGTTTCGCCTTCGATCCAGAAGGCTTCATCAGTCAAGGAAACACAACAAAACTGATTCTTCCCCCAACAGCTTACTCCAAAGTGGAACAAACCAGCTCTGCTTGTGCTAAGCTGGACTTTGTTGTTTTCAACCAGTTTGACACGACTGTCAACAAGGAAGAGGGCCGGCAATGGAGGAGGGGGCATGACAAAGAGACCATCTTAGCACCAACATAACTGGTTTGTTCCACTTTGGAGTAATCTGTTGGGAGAAGAATCAGTTTTGTGTTGTGTGTTTCCTTGACTGATGAAGCCTTCTGGATCGAAGGTGAAACGTTTCAGCACAAAAAAAAAAAGCTGTCCAGATGACCTGACTGAAAAATGTTGGATTAACTGTTCAAGGTTTGATCTTTCTAAAAAAGAACGTCGTCCTTCAGATCCTAGTGTTGCTCTATAAACAGATCAGCGTTGCAGGACATAAAAACTGTTTATTTTCTTCGCACAACCATTTTAATGTTTCATTAAACCAGTACCAAGCTGAACACTAAGTTTCCAACAAAACCGTATATCTTTTGGTGGAGGAGGGTCACATTTTCTGTCAAATAACTGTTTTAAAGTCTGCAAACATTTTCTTTTCATTTCAAGCTGATTTGTTTGTTATAATTGTGCAGATTATTTGTTCAGGAAATGCAAAATCCAAAATTCTCTATATTGTTTTCCTTATTCGATTTTAAATCTATGACAAAAACAACCAAAGGAACAAAAACATATTCAAGTATGTTTCTACAACGTCAGGATGTTCAGCTGTTAGATGAACTCAGTCGTGTCCATTGTGTTGTGGTTCTGGTCCACACTCGTGTGCTCCTACAAATCCTTTCAACACCCCGACTGTGGAAAATGGACATGTTTTTATTACGCACCATGAGCACTCTGCATCTTGTTGTACCTAATCCAACGATGGATGAAATCCCTTTTGAAAATCGTGACAATCTCTCCCAACATTAAAACAAATCTCTGAGTAACAGAGTGCTGCTGGACACAATGCATCACATGGCAGGAACAGATGATGGCTGCAGGCTGCAGAGCCAGCATCAGCAGCCTGCACGTGACGCAGCAGCTCTCCAAACAGGGCTTACAGTGAAAGAAGGGGGGAGTGGAGGGGGATGATGGAGGAAACCAACTACCAGGACACTGTAACAGGATGTACTCACTTCCAGCACTGGCCCGGCCCAAAAAAGACCCAGTAATCCCTCTCCTGACATGATGCAGGCACGCATTATTTCCTGTGTGCTCATCACTGCAACATGATGGAAAGTAAAGCTGCAAGTGTTTTTGTTGTTTTTAAATGAGGCTGTATCTGTGCACGTGTGATTACAAGTCAAATTGGCTCTGCGGGGCACAAGAAGAGATTTGTTTATGAGCTGCTTGGCACAAGAGCAGACGTCTCATTTAATTATTATTTCCCCCTCCACCTACTGTCCCTGCGAGGAGGAAAACAGTAACCCTCGGCAGCCATCGTGAGACCTGCAGAGAACTCCCCCCGTGTGTGTAATCTTATTCATGCTTGTTGGAGTCTGGGTGCAAAATAAAAGCTGATAAACATCCCAGAGTGTCCTACCTGATGGCGAGCAGCTCATGCAGTAGGTAGGCTGCAGCAGCCAGCAGCGCCCCCCCGGTGATGTACAGGGTCTTCTTCCACCAGGACTCCGAGCCCAGAGCCGACATGATGCCTCCGTAGTCCTGCAGAGGAAAGGCGATGATGTAGCCATACAGAGACTGGTGCTGCTCAGAGCCGCACAGCCCGAGCGGCAGGCTGCGGTTCCGCCCCAGTTCAACCACGCACGGCCGGGTGGAGGCGAAGCCAGCAGCCCAGTGCATCCTCCCTCCTCCTGTTACAGCCGCCCCGCGTCCTCCCCGTCCAGCTTCATCCACACGTCCGGTGGATGTCCTGCGGCATGGCGGCGTGGGCTCGGGGTTATTGACCCAGACACCTGGAGGACGTCAACATCGCGCTCGTGCTCCAGAGAGGATGCTCCGCAGCTCTGCTGCCTCCCCCTGAGTCTAGAAGGTGCCACATGAAATTAAAGTGCAACAGCGCCTTTTCCGGTTCAGATTTTCAAAATAAACGCAACTATTTCTGTGGAACATTTTGCATGATGGCACCACCCACTGGTTTTTGGTCTTGCTGGGTTTTTGCTACTTCTAATTTTTAGCTACCCTTTCACCACTTTAAGCTTTGAACTGCACCTTCATGCTAATGTTTGCTGCTGTTTGCTACATTCACATTACCTTCTGCTACTTTAAGCTTATCGTTAGCCTTTTGCTCCTTCTTGCTAAACTTAACTAGTTCTGTATTTTAGGTATTATTCTGCTACTTTTAGCCAGCATATTGTAATTTTTAGCTTCTCTGCTAACCCTTACATTTATCCTCTTGCTACTTTTAGGTCTTTGACTACTTTAAGCATTTACCTAAATTTAGCCTTTAGCTACCATTCCACTATTTTTGCTACTATTCTGTTAACTTTTTTTTGCAGGACATCCTTGTAAAAGAGATTAATAATCTCAGTGGATTTCTTTCCTGGTAAAATAAAGGTTTTAAAAAAAATATGCCTAACGTTTGCTACTTTTAGCCTGCTGTTAGCCTTTTGCTTCATTTAACATTTAGCTATCATTCTGCTACATTTTGCTGCCGTTCTGAAAGCATAAAGACTCCCAGGTGCAAGGAGAGGAAGGAAACGTACAGTAAAGAGATTTGCATGTGAGTTTAGCTCACATAAACAGAGCCTGTCACTGCAGTTTTAACATTTGAACGTGACAACAGGTCTTCATGAGATTATGGAGGGGGAAAAAAACAACAAAATAAATATAAAAATGAAATTGAACAGTGATTAGAGAGAAGAACTGGACTTTAGTTCTTGCATCAACACTGCATCTTGTCCAAAATGCCTCAGTTCTGAGTTTCATGGTTACAAGTTCTCGTTGGGATCATCAGACTCACTCGAGAGAGCTCTAGCCAAGTGTCACTACATTTTCTCCATTGACTCGTGAGATATTTTGCTAACAGACAAACAAGGTTGACTCCAACAGCTAATGCCAAGGTTTAAAGCAATATGTTTGGATCAGAAGTAGCATTAGAGAAGATACTCAGCTACAACCCCACCAGATGTTAAGCACCTTAAATATCTGCAAAACTGACTGTTATAACAATTTTTGTGTGTGTGCAGTTTTTTATGTCACTTTGCTGTGGCGGCCATCTTGAATCAGACTGACTTTAACAATTCTCTATAGTAGATGTACACTGATGATTATTTTCCACAAGTTTCATTAAGTTGCAGCTTTCAGCATATAATGTAGAGGTTCGAGATATTTTGCTGGTAAACACATGCACGCAGACAAAAAACATCATAGTCTGCCTTTCCCTTTTCCAAAGGGGTGGACCGGCATTAACAATTTATTATAAAATGAAACCTTTCATAGTCAATAGAGATCAAAATAGTTTGACATAACCTTGACAGGCTAATTTAACATCTTTTTATTTTCTTTAAAAATTAATATAAGATCACTTCCGGTGCTTTGGCCGGAAGTTTAGTGAACTTGACGCGGCTGGACTGTCATTGTCTTCATTTATTTATTTTATTTATTTCTTTATTTAAATTAGGACAATGCATATTAATCAACATATCAGCAGTAAGCATCAATGTAAATATGCCGGAGTTAGCACAGTAGCTAATTCATGACCCTGTGGAACCTCAGAAAACACGAATATGTGACAGAAACCTTTCGTAAAACGCCTAAACTAGAAGGAAACCTGTCCTGCCTTGCTGTTTTACGCTGGGGATTCAATGTACCAACAATAAAACAGCTCGTTTTATTTATAAAGTTACATTATTAGATGACAGGTAATAAGTTTGATCAAAATAAATGCTGGCTGATAATGTAATGTCGGTGCAGAAGTTGTTTTGACTGCTGTAATATTTTTTATGTACATTCAGGAGTTGTTCAGTTAATCTATGAAGGTTAAAGTACTCACTCTGAAACACAGAAAGTACAAGACGACAGTATTGTTGCAGCAGACGGAGGTGGAACAGAAATCTGTTTCTGGTTCATCCCGCCGCAGGAGGGAAACAGCCAAGTTAGCTTAGCTTCGTGTTAGCTTAGTTACATCCCTGTTGAAGCCGCGAGAATAAACTTCCGGTCACTTTCTTCTTCTTCTGTTTGGAGACAAACCATACCACAAAGATAACTATCCACCCATTATCTTTACCCGCTTAATATAACTGTATCAAATAATCTCCAGGACGCGGTCCGCGCCCAACGTTGCCATGGCAACTGAAAGCAAGCGCTGTAGGCGCTCTGCACGCGCATAATGGCACGAGCCTCAGCTGAACACAAGTCAGCAAGACCAATTCAAAGGCCTCTCTACATTTGAACGTTTTCATATTAATTTTATATCATAATCATACTGTTATATGCATTTTTAAGTAAAATGACTTGTTTGAACTATTTTGGTCTGTTAAGGACTTTGTCCAAGCACAATTTCCTCTTTGCCACTGGGAGAGAAGTGGATTACATAAATACTTCCACATGAAACACATTTTAATCCCAGAGGAAGCAACTGCCCACTCCTCTGTGTATGTTTAGACTAAAATGGAAATCCACATTCTTATTCGACAAACAAGCTCAGATGTCTCTTTTACCCGTTCATTTACAGGAACACAACTAGGAAAAAAACAATAAATGGTTGTATTTTGACCAATATTTATTCTAAATGGCCAGTCATGAAGAGCATTACACAGTGTAAATGAAAAGTCAAAATGACTCACTCAGAAGCTGTTTAAAACCTGCTGTGCAAATCAATGACAATGTCCAGTTTGTCCAACACGAAGTACCGTATTCATTAAACACCTCCAAAGCTTGGAGCCATCTCACGCTGAGTACACGCTTTATTCTACACCAAGGTTGAATAAACTCCATCTCGTGTGCCGCCATCACAGCTTGCCAGTGGGCCGTCAGGACTCCTGCCACACATCTGAGTCATTGTTTTTGTTTTCTGGCGTTTTCTTACAAAGAGCTCAGCTGTGCGAGGCAGCAGGCTCAAACTCGGAGTGGGTGCAGCTGTCCTCGGCTCCATCACTCTTTTTGACTGCGTGCAGGGCATAGTTGATGGAAGTGCTGTTTGTCCAGGACCAGGCTCCAGATATCGGGTTGTACATCATTCCTTGGACCGACTGCACCAAGAAGCCATCTGACAAAAAGAGCACACGAGTCATTTTTCATATTTTCAGCTAATGCGTTGCTGCCGTAAAATTCTAAATTGCCATATGTTGTCGTAAAAATTGTGCAATTTCTTTGTTTAAACATATATTATGTTTACCATGTTCCATTGTAAATAAACTATGGGTTTGTGAGATGTGCAAAGCATTACTGTTTATTTATTTATTTTCACAGTGTCCAAATGTCAGAACAAGAGGTTGGTGCAGCAAATACATACATAAAAAATTATGTGATTATTTTTATTTAAAGATTGTTTATGAAGCTGAACATCAACTGTTCAATCTATAGAAAATTTAATTCCATTATACTTTATTTCACTGCTGCAGAAACTTACTGGACTCCAGGAGGCACTCAAGCTCTACTGGGCTGATGAACTTTTCCCAGTCATGCGTCCCGCTGGGAACGATGCGCAGCAGCTGCTCGGCCACGACGATGGCCAACGCGAACGAGAGGTTGGTTTTATTGATGGTGGTGATGAACAGCGAGCCGCCTGGCTGCACATAGAAGGACACGAAAAGGTTTAGTTCATAAACTGTTCAGTTCAGGTGTTACTGGATTTTAACACTTCAGAAGAATGTTTATTAACATCCCTGCAAGTATCAGTTAATGATCTGTGCTTTGAGTGAAGAGGATTTAAAACTTGGTGCCAAAGCTCAAAGTTAAGCGCAGGCTAGATGAACATGAGTACACAAATATGATGTAAAATACTGTGCTCTGAAGCAGCATCTAATTTAATGTAGAAAATCTATTTTTTTTATCCTTCCCTCAACTCTTCAGCCGACCCTGGAGATCAAGGACCTCTGGCCCAGCACTGGCCCAGTGCAACCCCTGCCCATCTTACACAAACACACCTACGCCCAGAGAAAAAACACAGGCGCAAACAACAAAATAACCATGTGCATATTCAGATGCACTCAGGCGAACAACACTCGTCCTGCACTGTGCAGCTTAGGATGAAAAACAACACAGACGCACTGCAGGGTAACACACCTTTAGAACGTGGTTGCAGCAGATGGCGAATGTTTCCAAGTCAGCCAGATGTTCCACAACCTCTGACGCCACGACAGCATCAAACTGAGCCTTGCTTTGCTCCTCCTGCTCCTTCTCTCCTTCATCTGAAAGCTGCTCCAGGGTGCAGGCCTGGTATGACACCTGGTCACAAAGGTCTGGGTCTGGAGACGAATGCAGCTGGGCAACGCTGATGCTTTCTTCAACTGGATCTATTCCCAACATGCTGGCTCCCAGGCGGCCCAGTGGCTGGGGAGGCAAAATGAGAAGTGAGAGGGATGACTACATGAACGTTAAAGTTAATCAGCCATCAACTCATCATGTGTAATGGACAGCAACACCTTTGTGGTTTTGGATCATTGATTTTATAAATGGAAACAGGACTTTTTTTTTTTTAATCATTTACCCTAGAATTCTGTTAACGTGGTCATAAAAAGTATTGTGGGACATAAAATAAAGCAACAGCATAAAATTTTTTTGGTACTGGTAAGTGGGGATGGATGAAGAACCCATACAAGCGGGTGCCTCGTAGGTGGGCCTTTGCTCTCCCCAAAAAGACACTGAGCTTTATTCAAACCTTCATGACCCTCGGATGAAGGACTGAAACACTCAGTATTTTAGAGTCTCGTGATCAATGAAGGGTTCCCCAATAATTCTCTCTTTGACTGTTCAGCCAGGCAATAGTCTAATAGAGCAGAGGTCTCAAATTCAATGCCACATGCACCACAGACCATTGTCGTGGAGTTCCATCACCATTTTGTGGAAGTCAAGCAGGTTGCATTTCATCCCTCCTGACCGCCAGAGGGCAGTGCTGCAAGCACTGAATGTTCCCTTCGCGCATGCACTGTTCAAATAATAATACCAATAGAGTCACAGGTGTGACATGGATGACCAATCAGAGGCTATATAGCCTGGCGTCATCCGCAACTCTGATCCTTTTTTCTTCTCGCGTGCGGTTCAATCCAGGGCTTCAGTCCTTGGACCTTTTCACCGTCGTCGGAGGCCCGACTGCCCATTGGCCCGACTGCCCATTGGCCCGACTGCCTGTTGGCCGGAGCAGCGTGTTCGCCCTCCAAGGGGCCACAACGGTTTAGCCTTCATTCAAGGTATTTCTGCTGTTCGTTGGGGACTAAGGCGGCTTTCGCCCCTCTCCCAACTTACAGCGTTTGACTACTGTGTGTGTGTGATTCAACACTGGTGAGTAGTCTTTTACTTCTATTTTGCCTTGGTTAGTGGCGCCGTCCGCTCTGTTGGAGGTTTCCAACCGCAAGGTAGGTTTGGATTATGCTCCGAAATTAATTGTGTAACCAGCTGTGTTCTGGTCAATCATTTGCATCAACCTCATACATGGTTGGACCATGCTAGCGGTTCCAGCCTCCCTAAGTTTTGGCCTGGTTTTTATTGGTGAAGGCAAGCGATCGCGCCCCCTCTCCCAATCACTTTCACCAACCTCATAAGCGGTTGGACAGGGCTAGCGTTGCTAGCCTCTCTGAGTTCTGGCCTTGCTTTAATTGGTGAAGGCAAGCGTTTGCACCCCCTCTCCCAATTGTCCTCTTTTACCAGCTGAGCTAGCAGTGTTAGCCTTTCTGAGTTTATTTGCCTTAATTGGTGACTTCAAGCATGTGTCTCTTGGACTTAGCTGGCGGTACCAGCCTCTTTGCTGAATTGCGGGTTTTTTTACGTGAGTGGAGGCCCTGTCAGAGAACCCCTGCATGAACTGCAGCCTCATGCCTCGTGCTATGAGGGTGGCTCGGCTGGCCCAGTTTCGCCCCAAGCTCGGCAGTGACCTCCCGCCTTCTGGGCAGGAGGCTCCACCTAGGCGCTCAAAGCGCTGGACTGAGGCTGCAGTTTCTGTGGCCCTTCCTAGAAAGAGGTGAGCCACGTCTGATCAGGGTCTCTCCACGAGGGTAGAGCAGCTGTCTGCAGAATTGGCGGAGATAAAGTCCCTTTTTTCAGGCACGCCAACTGGGGGCTAAGCAAGTGGCAATGACTGGACTCTCCTCCCCACCCATGCCGGAGCTGGCTGTGGAGGAAGAAGTGTTATCCTTGGCTGCCTCTCACCTTTTAGGTGAGGAGGAGGAACAGTCATCTCAAGTCTCAGAGACTGGTTCATTTTCTTCGTCTCCGAGTGCCGCTAGTGGGTCAGGTGACAGCTCGATGCAGGACATCATGCGTATGACCCTGAGACAACTGCAGCTGGACGTCCCACAACCAGAGGAGTCCACCCCTGGAAGTGCCTTCTTCAGCCACAGATGGGCCCCTTCTTCCTTTTCTGTCTCTCCTTCGAAGGAGTAGCTGAGGGAGTTGCATGGTTGCTGGCGGGATCCAAAGGTCTTTGCGTACCTCTCCGCTGATGGTGGAGTGTTGGCGACTATGCATAAGCCAGCTGTAGTGGGCTTGGAACACATACCAGTGATCAAACCTGTTGTTGTATCACTCTTCATGTCACCAGAGGAAGTTCTGTGCAGTGCTGTTTGGTGCCTGTCCAGGCACAACAGACAAGGCAGCAGTTTTCAGGCCTTAGCAGGGCGATGCCCCCTCCACATCCAAGGCGTCCGTCAGCTGATCCCAGCATTTGGCCGCCACCTCGGGGTCATGATTGGCCGAGTGGTTTGTTACCCTTGTGCGGTTCAGCAGAGACCCGACAGGAGCTTTCTTGAGTCGGTCCACCAACCAGCTGGGCAGGTTTGGACCGGGGACTCTGGCTGCCCCACCCCACGGCCCCCAGGAGCCGTGGAGGGAGACGCTGATGCCACCGGGCCGACCGTCAGATATTTCTCCCACCAACAGCTCAGTTACTGGGCGACTCACGCCGTGGACCCATGGGTGGTTGCCACTCTGACCCATAGTTACAAACTACAGTCCCGACGGTGACCTCACATCTCTCACCGGGTCAAGGTGACTATAATCGCCGACCCGATGAAAGCTCGAGCACTAGACCATGAGTTTTTCGCCCTCCTGGCCAAGGGTGCAATCGAGGCAGTGGACCCTCTGTAACAACCCAGAGGCTATTACTCAACTTACTTCCTCGTGCAAAGAGGACGGCGAGTTTCGTCCCATTTTAGATCTGAGGGGACTCAACCAGTACCTAAGGGTGTTGTTCTCCCACATGCTCATGACAGCAGAGGTCCTTCAAGCTGTCATGAGGGGAGAATGGTTCACGTATATAGACCTGAAAGATGCTTATTTTCATGTGCCTAATGCGGCAGAACATCGCTGCTTTCTCAGGTTTGCCTATCGAGGTCATCACTGGCAGTTCCGGGTACTCCCATTCAGGCTCTCTCTTTCCCTGAGGGTGTTCACTCGGTGCATGAAGGCAGCCCTCTCTCCTCTGCAGGCCTACGGAGTGAAGGTTCTGCTGTACTAAATGATTGGCTTCTCTGCGCCCCATCTTGGGCCTGTGCCTTTTGTGACACGAATGGCCTGCTCGCTCATGTGTCCCAGTTGGATCTTAATGTCAACCTGGAGAAAAGCTGCCTGATCCCTTTCCAGACGATCACCTTTCTTGGGTGGCTCTGGATTCACCCTCCATGAGAGCTCGTCCACCCGCTCAAAGGATGGGCGGCATACTCCAGTTGGTCAGTCGGTTCAGGCTGGGCAGGCAGCTCCCCTACGTTGCCTTCCAGCAGCTATTAGGCAACTGATGTCAGTCACTTGGGTGGTGCCCTTAGGCCCGCTGTCACTTCACCCCTTGCAAAGGTGGCTCAATAGCTTTTGCCTAGATGCCAGGCTGCACAGGCATCACAAGCTCACAGTGACATGGTCATGTCTTCATGCCGTGTCTCCATGGAGAGACGAAGATTTGTCCAGGAGTGTCCCCATAGGAGTGGTAGTGTGTCACAGGGAAGCGGTCACAACGGATGCCAGCTCCATAGGATGGGGCGCTGTGTGACAACGCAGAGCGGTTTAGGGTCGCTGGGGTCAAAGGACCGCTCCAACCATATAAAGGTCCTGGAGCTGAGTGCACTGCATTTGGCACTCAGGTACTTCCTGCCCCACCTGGAAGAGTTCTCATTCGATCAGACAACACCTCTGTTGTCTACCACATCAACCACCAGGGGAGCACCAGGTCAGCACAACTTCTGGAGAGTGTCCAGAGAATGGGCCTCTCCTTGCCTGTCCACCCTGTGGGCGGCATACTTACCAGGGCGACACAGTCAGGCTGCAGACTTTCTCTCCCACCAGGGGTCTGCTCTGGGAGAGTGATCCCTCCACAGTGACATAGTGCTGATGATCTGGGAACGTTTTGGTCAGGCAGAGAGGTAGACCTGTTTGCGATAGAGGAGTTGACTCAGTGTCCCCTATGATACTCCCCTACCGGGGCGTCGGGTGCGCTGGGCCAAGACGTATTGGCCTACCCTTGGCCAAGAGTCTTCCTATATGCCTTTCCACTCCTTTCTCTAATTTTGTCGACCCTTCAGGGAGTTGATATAATAATATGTTTTTAATGCTTTATGCCATATTCTTTTGTATGTTTTTTATGTTTTCATATTATAGCTTGAAAATAAAACATTTCATGTAGACATCTAAGGTCGAGTTACTGTGAGAGCGAGATGTTGTATTAAAGGAATGTTTAATTAAACTCTTGGGGAGCGTTTTGGCAGAGGGGCTTGGCCCGCCCTTAGGTCACAACGCCCCAGGTTCCTGATAAACATGTTTAACCATTGGACTCTCACGCTATCCTGACAGTTTTAATAAACATGTTTTTGCTTTAATAAGAGGTGAGCCATCACCCCTCCACACATGAATGGGATGGGTGATCGCTCCCTTGATAAGAGAGCATTCTCCTCACAATTTACTTTGAAGCATTTTTCTCCTCAAGATGAGAGAAGCCTTTACTCCGCCCACATAGATGGAAAGGAGTTACCGTTTTCAACTCTGAGTTTCAAGTAAACATGTTTTGTTAGAGAGACAGAATGAAAGGATATAAGTAGAAGAAGCACATTTGCTAGGGCAGAGTCTGCTGAGAGTTTTCCGGCCAGAAGCGTCCAGCGCTGTCTGTGCTTTTGGTTCCACCCAGGCTGAACCGGCTCTCCAGCCTTTGTGTCACGGTGAGGGCTGTTTTATGCATCGACACTTGTGTGTGTATATCTGAAGTATGATTGCACTTTGCTTGCTTTTTAAGCTGTTATCTGTGGCGGAGTAATAAAGACACGGATTATTCTAGCAGAAACGGCGTGTGTGTGATTCTTTTTGACCATTAAGCTGATACTCTTCCGAATCCTGGATTTATTTAAATAAATATCCCAAATCAGGAGTCCTCGAGGAGGGCCACAGGATGCTGCTGGTGGCTCCATATTGGCCAGCATGACCATGTTTCCCACTGCTATGGAGTCTATGTCAGGTCTTTCCATGGTGTCTTCCGACCAGGAGGGACTTGCTTTCTCAGTTGGGGGACTGATATGGCATCCCAATCCTCAACGTCTTTGGCTGTGGGTGTGGCCACTGCAAGGCTAGGACAGCAGCTGACTGGAGTTTCAAGCCCCATCAGACGCACCATCCTGGGCGCCGGGGCACCCTCTACTCGTCAGCAGTACGAAAACAGGTGGCGTTCGTTTTCCCAATGGTGTTCTGATCACAATGAGGATCCAGTCTCCTGTACAGTATCCACCATTCTCGAGTTTCTCCAGTCTCTCCTTGGTAAGGGTCGCTCTCCTTCGACGCTTACAGTTTATGCAAGCAGTTTACAGTTTATGCATTGATGGCCGATTGTCTCAGAAATTATTGCGATAAATGATAATATTGTTTGAAATTTGACAATTATTAGTAATTATTGTCAAATTTAAGAAAAAACATTTGTCAGTTTGGCATGTAGTACCTTTTTTCAACCACCGGATGGTAGTATAAAGCTGTTTGAACCGAAGGATGTATAGTGAGGGAGCAGCAGTGTTTCAAAAATGGAAGGGAGGCCCCTTGCTGTGACATGGGTTGTCTCTCCTTCCTTTATTCCTTCTCAAAATGGCGGACGCTCAATGTGGTTTTGGCTCTTTAGCATAGCATTTTTCGCACAAAACTTTTAATAAAAAAAAAATCAGTAAGCAAGTTCTCAGCATCTTTTTCAAGAGAAAAACAACTTTTTACACGAAGGCACTGATTTCAACCGTGAATTTTGGAGCTTCGACAAGATGGAGTTTTTTTTTCCCCGAGGTCGACCTGTTAGCTTAGCTCACAGCTTAGCTTCTCAGCTTAGCTGCTTTCAACGATCCAAAAACACAATTTTGGACGGTTAAAATTGATTTTAAAGAAAAAGGAGAAAGGGAGGGTTCAGTGATGAGCACCGGAGTTGAGCTTTTTATCATCCAGTGTCTTCAGTAGAAAGAGAGAGACACAAAGAAATGATAAAACCGATAAATGAAAATGAGGTTGATTAATTTATCATGCGATTAGTTGATTTATTGTTTATCGTGACAGGCCTACTCAATGAGACTTTAAATCAACAAAAGTAACTTTACAGAGTGGTCCTTGTGCACCTGGAGTTTAAAGCTCAATCCCAAAAGGACATATATTTACCTCTGTTAGCAGGCCTCCACCACAGCCAACATCCAAGATTCTCAGTCCTGCAAGTGGCTTTCCAGGATGGTGCGCGCTGTGCACAGTCAACAGATTGTCCCTGAAAATGCAAAATAGCCAAATAAATGCAAATGACAAATTCAAATCTCTAGCTGCCCCAACATCCTTCAACATTCACAGATGCAGTCCAAGTCACAGCTTCACTTCAAAATGAAAGAAAAAAGAATCAGCATGCGAGATTTTACTGATGCTCCCAAAATTAAAGACGTTTACAGTCAACCTTCCCTGAAACAGAAAAACAAACCATCCATCTACTGGGGTCATTTACAGCAAAGCAACACATAAACTGCAACTTCACTAGAGAATAAAAATGGGAAAATGTCGTGTGTTTAACTACAGGCCATGTGTCAAACAGAAAGATGAAAAGTATCTCTCCCTCGTTTAAATCAAGAAAATGTTACAAAAAAAAACTGCAAAAAGTGTTTGTTTCATTAATTTGATTTTGCTGATGCAAAATAAAAACCAATACAGTACTGAATAACACCTCCCGTAGTGAAGTAACAAAATAAACAAAACATGAAAAACTCAAACCTAGCCTCTGAAAAACTGAGTGCTTGGGTGGAAAATGATTGAAAGCAAAGATTTCAAATAAAAACAAAATGGCTTGCCTGATTAACATTTTAGAATATGCATTATATGGCATTACTGCTTGCCATACAGGCACCTCTTGTCTTTTTCTACTGCTGCTGTGGATCACCATTAAACTTTTTCACATAGCAAACCGGCAGGACTTTAGGTTTCTGAGAGTTGCACTGAACCACCAATATGAACAACATACATGAGCATCACATGTAAAAATGCTTTTATTGTCCCGTTGCAGAGCGAAGAGGGGAATTGGAAATATTGTCTGCCCATGCATGTTGTGAGCATGAGAACTTAAATAATAAGTGAAAAACGGACGTTCATTTTGGTGTGTGGCTGCATCTAGGTGAAAGAAAGGTTCCTTTTGAAAACCGAGTTGCCATGCCAAAAACCAAGATGGCTGTCAAGCTGTAAACTGACCACTCCAATCATTTGAGGAAACTATGCTTTCTAGTTTTTATTTTGCTTAAAAGTATAGTTTCTTGGGGTCAAGGCCACCACTGCCTACCCCCTAGCTACAACATTACGCCTTGTTGTGTATAAAATTGCTCCCTCCACTCGCCAAGATTCGTCAATCAGAGAAGCCAAAAAAAAAACTATTTAATAAATAAAACTACAGATATTCCTATACACAGTACAAGTACCACTTGCAAACCTTGCAACAAAACATGAAATACTACTTGCAATTCCCATTCAATTCCAACACTCATCTTGAAAATAACAAACATTCACTATTCAATTCCCACAGTGATGGGAGACTTCTATTTATTGTCTTGTTTATCGTTTTGTGCAACGCACAATGGTTGGTCAAAGCGTGATATAAAGTTAGACTTTATTAAAAATTTGGGACATCAGTAACAAAAAGCTCCCACAGTGTTCTCATGCTGCTGCATCTCCTATAGAGATGCTCTGACAGCAGAGCCTGAAATCAGCCACTATCAGACCAACACAGGCTCCAGATGTGTCACAGTGGATGGTGATAGCGTACACTTTAAAACCACAGAGGCTACGAGCAGCATCAGGCTTCGGATGCAAGCTTACCATCATAATTATAGTGTAGGATCTACCAAACACCAGGCACATCAATCAAAACAGAATCCAGAACTTGTGTGTGTCAGTGACTCTTCACCCACATTTACAGCAACAATGTCACATTACATGTATAACCCTCCAGTGCCTTCCCCATTCAAATACAAGACATGGTGAGATGTTTGCTGATAAATCATCTAATCAGTTGTTTTTTGGACTGAATCCATCCATGGTGCACTCACCGTACGAAAGGCACCCTGAGGTCATTCATGGCGTGCAGAGCAGCAAAGCCTCCCTGTTCGTCCCACCACTTGTTGGACAGAGACTGGAACCGCTTCACCTCCCCGGGGTCCACCGTGGTGCTGGAGGTGGACACAGCCCGGCGCGTGCTGACACCGAGAGAGCAACTTTAAATCAACACATCTGTAATGGAACATCTGAGCTCAGCAAAATAAAAGCAGCTCCTGATCAGAAAATATTGAGTGGTGTTTTAGCAGACCAGCAGCATCAGTTATAAATTATAATAAAATGTTTTCTAATACAGAACATGTTTACAATGCACCGTATTTATCAAGATTCGTGGCTGAGTCGGGCTTTGTGGACGCTGCTGTAGAGATAAGTGTTATTAAAAGCTCCTTGTGTTTTCCAAAGCTCAAAGGATTCGCTGGGACTTGTGACCTCAGTTTAACATGAATGCTACAAGCCAGGCTCGGGTATCGAACACCAGGCTGGTTCTGTGCAGTACCCGCTGCTCCGCTGCTGGCACACCGCAGTCCAGCTGTAGCTGCTCCGACCCGCCGCCCCCCGGAGCACACCGCGGGCAGAGGTCGGTTTTAGTTTGGACAGCCCAAACATCAGGAGCGAGAACTTCTTCGAGGACATACTATCATAACACCTTTCAGCTTCGTCGCCACTTCCGGTGCGTTCTTCTTCTACTGTTAGTGCGTAGTTGCAGTTCTTTATGTATCTTTGCTGCCACCTTCCGGATGTACTTGAGTACTGCAGGTGCGTCCGCTTGTTCTGCCGCTGCGGTAAAGTTGAGTGGACACTTGGGGGTGTCTTAAACTTCTGCTTTTCATATACATATATAGACAGTGATAGTAAATTATTGTTTATTTATATAATTTAATCCATAATATCTCCTACCAGTGAGACATGCCTGGAAAACTGTCAAAGGGGAGGCTGTCCAGGAGGCGGCAGCATCCTAATCAGTTGCTGAGACACCCTCCCTGCACCAATGGATGACAGCTAGAGCTCCTCACCCCATCTCCAAGACTAGGCCCAGACACCATATGGTGAAAGAGTTCAAGTATCTGGGCATCATATTCACAAGTGATGTTAGGTTGGATCGGCGGATCAGGGCTATGTCCTCGATAATGATGGTGTTAATTGCTCCAGTCAGTTGAGGTGACAAGTTCAGTTGAAAGGCAAATCTCGCAATTTACTATGTTCTATGATCATGAAATATGAATCATGACATGAAGTATGAGATCCTGCATTAAAGCAGCCAAAATGAGTTTACTAAATAGGGTGGATGGGCGAAATCCACAACTCATTAAAAAAAAAATCATTATATACTGGTACTTGACATAGATGCCATTTACTCACAGCTAACTAAGTTCAAACTAGTTAATAAAAAAAGAGTAGCATCTACTCATATGAAAAACAAATTTTAACCCAGTATCTTAAGCTGAACATGGGAGGAGTCAGAATGAATTTATCCTCTTCTGCAAAGTGGAGACAGTGGTCTTTGCACAGAATGTGTCTTGCAGTCATCTGACAACTGGTTCCAACTGGGTGTAGTTGTGAAACATGAGGTGATGTGCAGTGCAGTCATAACACAAACCATCACAATTGTTTGGAAATGTCTTCTGATTAGTACACCCAAACTACATGTCAATGCAATAATCAAGGGCCTCTGGTGTCTCTGGAGAACTTCAGAATAAATAGATGTTGATAAGTGGTCTGATGGTTCCTCATTCTCTTGTACCTACAGCTGAAACCTGACAATGATGTTTCCTGACAAGGCCTGGCAAAAGCTGTCCTCACAAATGTTTCCTCAACGGATATAAAATAATAAACTATATCTGACTACAATTTTTTTTCTTTTAATTGTTTCTTAATACCAGAAGGTTGGAATATATAAAAAATATTTTGTGGCATGTCTTTATTTTTATAGAAAATTAAAAAAATAACCTCCAACAGTGGTGACTTTATAATTTTGTCAGGCGTAGACGTGTTTCATTTGTAAACATGTCCTTATTTGCTTTAATTGAAAGTCCAACAATAGAACACCACTTGGGTTCAGAGAAGCGGTTTCTCCAGGTCACACATTGAAGTCCCCCAGCAGGATAAAGGAGTGTAGTGAACCAGATGACCTGATGATCTGACCCTCATCTGACCCTGATGACCTCAAATCTACCAGATGGACAGAGACTGTTATTTTCATTGATCTGAATAAGTCTGAGCCATCTGATGACTTTCTTTCTTGAATTAATCAAGCAGAAAAGACAATCCCCTATAATCATTACTGTCTTACAAATGTTTTGATAATCAAATTGTGTTAGTTTCACTCAATGCTTACAGGTTGAAAAGAACTACTCATTTTTATTTTACATAAACAGTAAGTAATGATTTTTATTTCTCATTCAAAGAAGAAATCACCTGAATATGCATTTCTTGATTTTCTGTCTGAAATGAGCCAAGTCGTAAGTATGTGAAAGGTTGGTTTTCGGTCAACTAAAATGTTTACCGAGAAAGATGTCATGTTTAAACTTTTTCAGAAGATTACCAAGAGTTGACTCCACGAAGTCTGCTCTCCTGCAATAATCTCTCTGTCAGTTGTTAAAACAATCTCATTCTCTGACCTTGGCTTAGATAACATCTTACGTCACAAAACCACTCCTCTTTCTGGTCCATCCACGAATCAGAAAGCTCTGAAGTAAACTCGGAAGTAAACTCATTTAAAATGTGACAACTTCCCGGTTCTGGCAGAGTGCAGTAGATTCCATAGAGTGCAGTAGATTCCATAGAGTGCAGTAGATTCCATGGAGTGCAGTTAGTTCTCAAGGAGTTCTGAAGAGAATTCATGGGAATTCAGAGAACTAGAGTTATGGAGAGTTTTGGAGTTAGAGTCTGAGAAGATCTGAAAGAGTCTGAGAGCTGCTGACAATGAAGAGTCAGAGTTGCCGAGAATCCAGAGACGTTTTGGGATTATAATTCTGTTTTGAGCTAACCACGCACGACTCTCCAAGGATTTTAGCTGTTCTCAACAGAGACGCTGATATCAGTCTGAAGGTTCTTACTGAGGTGATCTATCGTCAACAAGGTAACGGTTTCTTCTTCGACTAAAGTGTACCTGGGATAAGCTGAGATACCTGATGGGAGCGTGCAATTTCTGGTCAAACAGATTAAATTCCCTCACATATTCCTCTGTAAGATAAATCTCAATTTCCTCTTAAACTCACCTCTCTCTCATAAATCAGTACAGATATTTTTAGAAATATCTGAAGCAAAGTCCTCAAATCACCGCCGAGTGATTTGAAGTTCATTATTTGTGAAACTGTCTGTTATTATTTTCATATTTTGCCAAATTAATGTAAATGTTTGATGTTAAACTTTGATTCTGAAAATAAATGACTCCATTCATTTGATGGGTCAAAGATAATAACGTCTCTCGTTCGCATTCCTTTAAATTCAATGCACGGCATTACAGTCAGAAAAATGAAGAACTCGTGAAAAGTATGCACAAATATATACCACATATATTTGTCATACAACTAGTGGCACGTACCCACGTGACTCACTACAGGAGTGTACGCACCAGGAGCACCTTCCAGCCCTACACCCCTCCACAAGAAGACCAAATACTCTGAACTGCCGTTTGGAAAGTAAGCACAAACAAGTCAGAGCCCGTCCCCACCCTAAGGCATAGGGAAGCCACCCTCTCATGCATCGGGGGAAACTTCCAACACACTGGGGCCAAGATTGGGTAGAGGTAGGGCAGTGGACTTGGGACGAGAAAGTCACGGTTAGGCTCCCAGTCGTTCCACGTCACGGTGTCTGAGCAAGACACATACAGACCCTTTCCAAAAAATTTGAATATCATGGAAAAGTTTAACTTCCATAATTCCATTCAAAAAGTTAATCTTTAATAGATGATAGATTCAGGGCCCACAATTTCAAGTAATTATTCGTTTATTTTTTCATAATTTGGGCTTCCAGCTCATGAAACCCACAAAAACAGGATTTCAAAAAATTCGAATACTGTGAAGACATCAGCCCACACTACTCAGTTTTTGCAGAAAAAAGGAAATTAGGTTCACAAGAAATCAATCAAAATATAGTACTTTCAAAATGATGTCAATCTTCAATACTTGATTGGAAATCCCTTTGTCTTAATCACTGCCTCGATGCGACGTGGCATTGAAGCAATAAGTCTGTGGCATTGACTGGGAGTAATGGAAGCCCAGACTTCCTTGATACTTGCTGTCAGCTCTTCTTTGTTGTTGGGTCTGGTGCCCGTCATTTTCCTCTTGAGAATATCCCATAGATTCTCAGTGGGGTTTAGGTTCGGCGAGTTGGCTGACCAGTCAAGCACTGTGGCATGGGCATCAAACCAGGTTTTGGTGCTTCTGGTGGCATGGGCAGGGACCAGGTCCTGCTGGAAGATGAACTCTGCATCGCCATACAGATCCTTGGGGCGGCTGTGGCTGAGTGGTTAGATAATTTGTCTTCAAATGCAAGAGTTGGGGGTTCGAATCCACCAGCAGTCACATGCCAAAGTGTCCCTGGGCAAGACACTGAACCCCTCATAGGCTCTGATGTGTGTCCCATCAGTGTATTAATGTAATGAAGCACTAGTCTCTTTAGAATGATTTGTTCAATTAGCTTTGTAGAGATCTAGAGTGCTGTATGAATGGGTAAATGAGGCACAGATTGTTGTGTAAAGCGCTTTGAGTATCTCAATAAAATAGAAAGATGCTATACAAGTACAGTCCATCCTCAGCAGGAATCATAAAGTCCTCTAAAACATTCTGGTAGATGGTTGCGATGACCTTGGATTTAAGAAATCAGTGTTTACCAACACCTGCACCGGACATTGCACCCCAAATCATGACTGACTGTGGATATTTCACACTGGACCTCAAGCAGTAGGAGCTCTGTTCCTCACCCTTTTTCCTCCAAACCCTTGGACCTTGATTTCCAAATTAAAGCCACACTTTACTTTCATCGGAAAAGAGGACCAAAGAACCCAGCAGTTGTAGTCCATCTCCCGGATGCGTCTGAATGTGGTGGTTTTTGAAGCTGTGACTCCGCCTCATTCCACTCTTTCTGGATCTCTGCCAGATTCTGGAATCTTCTCAGTTTGATAATCTGTTGAAGCCCACGGTCATCTCCTTTGCTGGGGCATCTTCTCCTGCCACATTTTGCACTTTCACTAACTTTCCACTGATATGCTTGGACACAGCACTCTGTGAACAGCCAGCCTCCTTAGCTTTGAACTTCTGTGGCTTACCCATCCTATGGAGGGTTCAATGATGGTCTTCTGGCCAGTTGTCTGCAGTCTTCCCCATATTGAACAGAACTGAGACAATTGAACCAAGCTGAAGCAATTTAATGACACCTGGAGAAACCTATGCAGGTGTTTTTAGTAGATTGGTTTGTCACACTCAGTTTAAAACATTCATGTCCTGCTAAATTTGGGCTGACTTCTCCACAGTATTCAAATTTTTTGAAATCCTGTTTTCATGGGTTTCATGAGCTGGAAGCCCAAATTATGTAAAAATAAACAAATACTTGAAATTTAAACTGTGGGCCCTGAATCTATCAACTATTTAAGATGAACTTTTTGAATGGAATTATGGAAGTTAAACAACTTTTCCATGATATTCCAATTTTTTGGAAAGGGTCTGCAATACATAATTGCTCCCTGGATGCTTACGTGGCTGCCCACTGCTCCACCTGCGTGCACCTCAGGTGTGATGGGTTCAATGCAGAGAATCAATTTTGTCATTGTATGGCAACATGCAACGATGAAAACGTATAGCACTATGACACCAACTCAGAGGGCTAGAAGTAGGCATGTCCCAAGACCCAGCTTTGGTAAGCCAGGGTCAGAGTGCCAAGGCCCCCCGTCTTCAGCCATTGCCCATGACATCATGCACCTGACTAGTATGGCCCCTCCTGCAGGTGATGGGGCCACAGGAAGGCAAACCCACATTGCTCATTCAGGTTGAGGCCGACCAGGCCACAACCGAGCCCCTCCAGCAGGCCTGGCTTCAAGGTGGGGCCTCGGTAACCCATGTCTGCGCAAGGGACGCTGAGTTCTTTGCTGATTTCTGTCCATGTGTTGTATTCACGTTGCAGAAAAGCAGCTTTTCCACACAGCATAAAAACAATGCAGACATGTTCCCGTTTGTAGTTTTCTAAATTGCCTTATAATCTAGCTGTATTTTGCTACTTCCTCGATTGTCCTTTTGGTTGCCATTTTTTTTTGTAAATAAATAAAATAAAAATAGAGAAACTTAAATTTGTATGCCTATTTTATGACTGTCTATTGTAATTATTCATTGTTGTCATCACTCTTTGTTAATCAGGCTCTCTTGTAAATGAGTCCTCGAGGCTCAATGGGACTAAAACGTCTAAATAAAGATTGAATGGATGAATGAACGATTTAGCAGAGGGTGCAGTAGGTTACTAAAATAGACTGAGCCTGCACCAGGGATGTTTTTTTTTCCAGTACACTCCATATGACTGGTATTGTCTTGACAAGTGGGAATGTTTGAAATCACTTGGAGAATTGATTGCATTTCTGTGGTGTGGTTTGACCCATCATCTGACATGTCTTACAGAAAACAACAGCTGGAACATTTAACAATCCTTCATGAACTGCAGCTTTTAGAACTCACTTCTTCAAAGAGTCCACACAGTTCATGGATGAAGCCTCCTAGCATATTCCCAAAGGAGCTGAAGCAAATCTCCATAATAAGCTTGTTGGAATATATAGTTCGTTATTAAGCCAATTAATGAGACAAAGCAAGGGACAAACAGTTTTTATTGGACATTTACATTGTTTTGATGAAAAAAAATTCTCGTCATGTTTTAAAATGGTACAACTTTAGTATTTAGTGTCCGATTAAACTTTTCATAATGAAATCTGTGTTTCAAAATGTCTTGTTCTTCAGTAACACTTTAAAAATTACAACATATTTACAAAAAAAAAAAAAAAAAAAAGAAATGTATGAGAGGGTGTTCACCTACACAATTGCCTCTATAATGAGACAAGCCTGCTCAACTCGTGGAATTTAAATGGTTAACTGCACTGGTCTGGATGTCAACTGTGCTCCTCAGTGTCGGCTGCGATGGCACGGGGAGGACGACCTGAAAGAGAGGCAGGTGGAACAACATTAATAATACATTTAGCCCTTTGCAGTGCACACCACAACATACAAAGATGCAGCAATACTTCAATCCCACAAAAAAACATACTGCCAGAGAATAGATTACTGTACAACATTCAGGTAAAAAACATGTTCTGCAGATTCTACCAGAGCAAAGCCAAAAACATGTACATGTACATAGTACATGACTGTACTAAGAAATGGTTTCTAATATACTGTCAAAATCATTGATGGTAAATTTGACCAGTACAATCATCATATTAATTTTACACATCAGAATGATGCAGCAGTTGAGTCTATTTTCTATAAAAATAAAACTTAAGACATACAATGAACATACAGTAAGTGCAAAGGGAAAAAAACGAATACTACCTTGATCTCGACTTAGACTTGTGTTTGCGGCTTGCCTTCTTACCAGACTTGTGAGATTTTTCCACCGACCTTGAACGACTACGTTTAGATTTCTTTGATTTCTTTTCCTTGCTAACTTCAGGGGTGGGGGATCTACTGGAATCAGAGTCTGAGTGTCTCCTGCTAGATTTGCTGAAGCCCTTCTTGGTCGCTTTGCTCTCCTGTCGAGAGCGTTTGTCACTCTGGGAGTCTGTGTACGAGTCGCTCTCTTTCCTTTTCTTTGATTTGCCATCCTCTTCTGTTACAGAGCTTCCCTTCTCCTTAGCTTTAACCTTTTCCTTCTTTTTGTCGGTCTCCTTTTCTTTATCATTATCCTTCTTTTTCTTGGAATCTTTCTCTTTGTCATGGCTTCGACTCCTTTCTCTCCTCCTGTCTCTGTCTCTGCTAGAGGCCTTTTGTTTGTGTTTGCTGCTTCGACTGTGACTGCTGTCCCTGCGCTCCCGGCTCCTTTTCCTCTCCTTATCCCTCCTGTCTCTGCTGCGACTGCGGCTGTCTCTGGCCCTCGCCCTGCCTCTATCTCTGTCTCTGGATCGGGATCTACTCCTGTGACTCCTGCGCTCCCTGGAAACGCTGCGGTCTTTCTTGTGGCGGCCCGATCGTTCTGCACTGCTCCTCCTCCTGTCCCTGACCTTCTCACTACGGTGCCTGTGGGAGCTGCGACTTCGGCTGCGCCGACGGGCCTTGCGGGAGGAAGAGCGCCGCCTCTTCCTTTGAGGAGAGGAGGAACGAGAAGAGCTACGGGAGGATGCTGAGGAAGAGGATGATGAAGAGGAAGAGCGGGAGCTGCTGTGGCTGGAGGTGGAGTGGGAGGTGCTGCTGCGACCATTGGTTGGAGAACGGCTGCCACCTCGCTCCGTTTCCTCCTTTACTCTGCCTGAGAGCTTGCCCTCATCACTGCGGGACGTTCGCCTGTCTACCAAGGGCTCTGGCTCTCTTTCTTTCACTTCCTGTTTGAGTGCATTATCTAACTGATGATCATATTCTCCCTTTTCCCTGCTCAGTCTCTCCTTGGCCATCTCCTCTGTAAGACATACAACAAAACACACAAATTAAACCATGCCAACATTACAGTAGGTCACCTAACCTTTGTGTGGTGGGTTAAGGAGTAAAACACAGCTTTGATAAAGACTTGAGATCTTTTCTTGTTCACAGATTGTTTATGAATTAACAATGCCTAAAATGCAACAATATACTAATTTTCTTTAAAATTTATTTTGGACAAAACAATAGGTGAAAATAGAGGAAAGGAATTGAAGTCTGAGATTGTCACTGTATGTTCCCATATCAAGATGAAGTTAGTTCTCTGCATTTAACCCATCACACCTGGGATACACCCAGGTGGAGAAGTGGGCGGCCATGGAAGCACCCGGGGAGCATACTTATACTTACATACTTATTTACATACTTGCATACTTATTTGTATTTATCACAGTTTCCACTATATAAAAACTATAAATCCTATAACAAAAAAGGTTGAATCATGTCATCTGGACTTCGTTTTTTTGTTAA